TTTTTTTTGCGTTCTCAGCAATTACAGGAAACGATCCGTCCAGATACCAGTTTGGTGTCCATTATGACCGTTAACAATGAGATTGGTGTCAAACAGCCAATCAAAGAAATAGGTAACTCTTTTTATTAATATAATGCTCTAAACATATACCTGTCAGTCTTCTTGTCTTCTATATCAACAATGTTTTTGATTTCAGGTCATCTATGTAGGTCCAAAAATGTGTTTTTCCACACTGACGCTGCTCAGGCTGTTGGAAAGATCCCCATTAATGTCAATGACTGGAAAGTGGATCTGATGTCCATCAGCGGCCATAAGATCTCCGGGCCCAAAGGTAGTGTATTGTACATTTAAATACACAATGGTTACATTATCCAAAATATATTAATGAGTGGTTGTGTTTATTAGGAGTTGGGGCTTTGTACGTGAGGAGAAGACCCAGAGTTCGTATTGAGCCTTTGCAGAACGGAGGGGGACAGGAAAGGGGTCTACGTTCAGGGACCGTGCCCACACCTCTAGTCGTAGGCCTCGGAGCCGCTTGTGAGATTGCCCAGCAAGAGTTGGAGGTAGAGACTTCAGAGTTGGAGTTAAACTTTCTACTGCTAGTCCAAGTTTGCTTATATGCGGGTTTCATTTCCTGTTTATTTTCAGTACGATCACAAGTGTGTGACAGTGCTTGCAAATCGCCTCGTGCAGAAGATCGTGTCAGAGATTCCTGATGTTGTGAAGAATGGAGACCCAGATCAGAGGTACCCGGGTAAGATTCGACTTTCTAATTGTCTCTTTTTCTTAAAGGTTCCAGGTTGACTTGAGTTTGTAATCTAAAAACACTTTCCTCCTGCAGGATGTTCATTTATCATTTGCCTATGTTGAGTGGGAGAGTCTGTTGATGGCGTTAAAAGATGTTGCGCTTTCATCTGGAAGGTCAGTAGTTTAAAAATGTCTGACCAGGGTTTATCATTTTTGAGTACATAAAACATGGAGAAAGACTATAGCTATACTACTGATATTTTTACATTACAAAGCTGGTTATTAAAAATAAATAAATTAAAACTAAAAATATATATTTATATAACACATTACAAAGCTGGTTTATATATATATATATAAAATAAAAATGTGAATGACAATTACTAAAAATGAAATTAAAATTAAAACTACAAATATAGTTTTAACATAAAAGCGGATTCAAAATATTAATAGAAACTATAATGGTACATCAATAATACTGAAGTAACAGTGTTCTTGTTGCAGCGCCTGCACATCTGCTTCCTTGGAGCCCTCGTATGTTCTTAGAGCAATAGGGGCAGATGAGGACTTGGCACACTCATCTATTCGGTTCGTAGTTTTTATATAATATCAGTGTAAATGTTTTTTTTTTCCCCAGGTCATGCTCAACACGCCTTGTTTCTCTCTCTGTGCTTTTGTTACGTAATCTGTGTTCAGATTTTATCTTAAGTCTTAATACACAAATTTTCTGCTTGAACCAAGACCACACACACTAATGAGGGGATCTGATGCACATAACATTTTTTTTTGTAAGGTTTGGAATTGGCAGATTTACCACAGAGGAGGACGTGGACTATACAGTGGAGAAATGCATTCAGCAGGTCAAACGGCTGAGGGAGATGAGGTGAGCTGTTCATGCTTGATTTGAATCAAATGTCCGACCTAGGCTTCCACATCAAGGAAAACATGGGGATTTTAAAGTCTGTAAAAATCGTATAAATTCATAACATTTATTCAGACATTTCTATGGTGAATGTGTAATTTTTTTTGGTCTGCTTGGATATAAAATAGCTAATTTTGATATTATGTCATGTTTTATTTGTTTGATGTTTAGAATGTTATACATTTTTACAAATATTTTGTAAAAAAAAAAAATTAATTGGTTAAAATCCCTGTGAAACATATCTTTCTGTGGGAAAAAAAATGAGGATTGTTCATGTTTTTTCTTTTTTTGTGTGTCTTTCTTTGTCTTTTAGTCCATTATGGGAAATGGTCCAGGAAGGCATTGACCTTAAAAGCATCAAATGGACCCAACACTGAATTGTTCTGAACAAATGGAGTATGAAGCCCTGCTGTGGTTGTGAATACTCATTTTGTAAAGCTTGATTAGGCTGCCATACCTCCTTAGACCTTATTCTCCCAAAAAACACGCACAATTTTATTTCTCAATTTTGGAGAATTGAACTGGTCTATGTGAAGACGATTTTAAAGTGCATTTTTATGAATTGCAGGGGTTACAGAGATGTGCATTTGGTCAATTCTATCACGTTTTCTCAAACCAACTTTCACCTCAGTTTTTTTATATTTTATAGTATATTCACAGTTGCTCTGTTAAAATCACTGAAAATATAATCACAAAAGATATCTTACTATAAACATGCACTGAATGTTGTCCTGTGTCATTGTTGTGTGTGTTTGAGCACATTATACTGCTAAATGTTTTAGGAGTCTTATCATATTGTCTGTTCTAATTCTGAAACCAGCTAAATTAATTTCAGTGATGCATTGTTTCATTAAAACTAGCTTTGTGTTAGGCTTTATATTTAATTGTGCTGTATATTTTTGTTGAAACTGAATTTTTTTTTTTTAAAGAAATTCTAACCTTTGTCAGCAAGGATACTTAAATCAAAAGTGAGACATATGACAAAATATTTATATTTCAAATAATATTCTTTTGAACTTTCTAATAACCCTTGTGCGAACTTATGGATATTTGTAACTTTTTCTGTTTTTTTTTTTTTTTTTATCTTTTTGCCTGTGTTAATGCCAACTGCATACATTTTGGCACAGGTGTGTATTTTTATTGGAATTTTAATATTTCACCCTCATTTCCTTTAACAAATCTATTTTACACTAGGTACAAAAATAGTTCCTCTCAGGACCTTAAGGACATAAATGTCCTCATTGAAACCCATTAAAATTGCAATTTTTAATCCCAGGGCCATTTAACTATAAAATTATGCAATATTTGTTAATAGGCTTTCTTTCTGTTGGCATGGCCACCATCAACATTTTTTAGTAGATGGTGTCATTTTTTTCAAGTTTGGCATATAAAGCAAATACTCGCTTTGTTTTCTGCTTATGCATATTATACTCTATTATAGAGGCAATAGGATAAATTATGCAGCTATAATTGTGTGGGTATGTTGGTATGGATGTCGGAGTGTGGATTGTATGTGTGTCCTGAATAGAATTTTTGTGTGCGCGCACCTGTAATGTTTGAGAGAGAGAAATTATACTGTACTGCGAATCACAAATCCCACCGCTGTGTATGCCAGTGGAGCTTTGCTGGAATCTAATGGGAAAAGTTTGGTACTGCACCCAAACCAAATCTTACTAAAAGCTCATTTTTTGAGCCATCAACCTCAAATTTGGAACACAACTTGTTTAGATTTATGGCTTTGATTTTCTAGCAATTTTTGAGTTCAAAATGTTTTATAAAATATATATATATATATATATATATTGCTCATAAATCATTTTCATAAACTAAAACCTCTAGAATGTTACTTGGTTTCATTTTTTTACAACTTTTTTTAACTGAATCTGTCAAGGGTCTTCTTTAAAATGAGACCAAACTTAAGTCCGTACTCCCAAGCTTCACATTTTTATGACAGTTTTTTAACATGGACATTTTTGTCCTCTATGAGCCTATGTGTAACTTTTTTTTAAATTGACGTACAAAGAATACTTTAAAACCGTTGCCACATAAATATTCAGTACAATGGATAATAATGTTTCTTGAGCAGCACATCTGAAGGAATTTCTGAAGAATCATGTGACAAAACTGGATTTCGTTTTTATTTATATTGGTTTATTTGTTTGTATGAGAGAACACATTTCCTCGAGTCCAGCAGACAACAGTAACGCATAACCGACCGTTGACGTACTAACGTTAACTATTTAAAAACAAAACAAACAAAAACGACAACTAGTTCAGCGACTTTCTTTCAAAATGGCAAGTACATTTCAGCACTTTAACTTGATTTTAAACTTGTTTCTATAATTCAAAGTACGTGTTTGTTAGCTCATTATTGTCTCGGTTAAGGTTTACGTTGCCATCTAGATATGGCACTTAGTAACCAGCTACTGCCCGAGTAAATACGAACATTTTCCCGCAGACAGATTTCGAGATTTTACAGAGCTGCTGTTCCAAATGATGTTAGATACTAAGCAATTTTGCCGTTTTAATGACTTGAGGGTTTATGTTGCAGAATGAGGCAGAGAAGGCTATCAAAAGGATTCAGGCTCAGAAAGGAGTGGAAGGAGTAATCGTGGTTAACGCAGAAGGTGTCTGGCAAATGAGAAACGTTTCTAGTTGTTATTACTTAGTTTGGTTGCAAACGATGCCATGTGTTTCTGTGCTTCAGCGGTAACATGAAACTGATTAGTCAAAGAGATCTTTGTTATTTCTGTGTGCTTTTTAATAGGCATCCCCATAGAAAGCAATCTAGACCACCAACGTACACTTCACTACACCTATAATTTCCAACAGCTGCTCACCAGAACTCAGAGAGTGATGAAGGACCTTGACCCTCAGAATGAAGCCACCCTTCTGGATGTTCAAACAGAGAAAAATAATATTCTGATTTCCACAGGTAAAGAGAAGTACTCTTATGTAATGTTAATTTTCATTAGGCTAGGTCAGGGGTAGGCAAGTTCGGTCCTAGAGAGCCGCAGTTCTGCAGAGTTCAGCACCATCCCTGAAAACAAAACTCACCTGCCTATAGCCTTAGTAATCCTGAAGACATTGATTAGCTTGTTCAGGTGTGTCTGATTAGGGTATTAGGTTGTGTTTCTCACAAGTAGCGGGCCTCAGTAAAGCTCCGAATGAGCCTGAGGAATATTGTTTTGGACAGTGGAGGAACGTTCGAGTCAAAGGTTGAGAGCCACTGGGTTACACAACCTCCAGGTTTCGGGTGACAGTGTTTGACTAATCATATTTGTCTTGAAATTATTACAGTTTTTTGTAGATCAGCAATATGTTTTTAAATAAATATTTTCGCACTCAGCCTGCAGAGTTATTTGAATGTCAGGTGTGATATTTAGGACACCTTTTTTTTTTTTTTTTACACATAAAATACTACTACAGCCAAATATACATTTGGTATTTATTTGATAAAGACTGATGATTTTATTTTATTGTGTTCTTTCCACAGCCAAGGACTATTTTATGATTGCCATTAAAAATTCTAGAGAAGGGCCCTGAATTCTTCATTTTCTTCATTATTTATTCTTCAGTATTTTATTTTTTTTCCTAATTAATGGGCAAAAGTATTACATTCCATGTTCCAGGAAAGTTACGTTTATATATAACACAGTTACGGTGACGTAAGAAGCTTCCATTATTATAAATAATGAATGTACTGCCTTTGCTTATTCTAATAGTTTGCTCTTTTGTTTGTAGTTTATTGTTCTCATATTCTCTTTTGTAAGTACTCCAGCTGTTCATCATCTGGAGGCATCAGCATGACACTATACCATACCGTACCTTTTTATGTATGCAAAAAAGCAAAATAAAACAACAATGCTTTTTCTTTATTTTGTGATTGTTTAAATGTATTCTTCGATTGATTTGAATATACAGGAAATACTAAACTGTTATATAGTGTACACTCTTAGGAAAAATAGTAAAACAGTGAGTTTTCCAGCTAATTTGTTTGTTTATTTTTAATAGTAGTCTATTTTCATTATTATTTATACCCACCCCCCCCCCCCCCTTATCTGCAAGGCATTATAATACCTTGTAGCCTCTACTAGAGTTTGACATCAAAAACATTGCTGTCAGTTAGGCCATTTTATTTGTTTTTATTTATGTGAAATTGTAGCAAAAATGACAGTGCTTTAACAATAGTTATTAGATGAATACGTTATAAATGACCATAGACACTGAACATGAATGAACAGATGAGGTTGTGGGATGTGACAACATCTGGTAGAAATACACAGATATGACTATAGAGTTAAAATGTGTCTCTTCTATTTATGTAAATGCAGTTTAGAAAAGCCAACAGTTGCTTAAAAGGAAAAAGTAATAAATCATTGGATAGCTTTAATATGGATCATAATCATAATAATGATCAAATTCATTAGCTTGGTTACTTAAGAGAAGAGGAGAGAAGTAAAGCTGATCACACTTATGTTAAAAACCTGATTAGCAGGCAACCAGTTACAATTTTAAAGTTAACGTTCATAAACATTTTAATAAATTATCGGTTAAGAGTGGGCATGACAGTATATAGTTGGCTAGCTGAGCTCAAGAGACAGATATAGATTTGAAAAACAAAAAGGCAAGAATAAACGACCTTGAAGGCTAAGAAAATCTGAAATTGTAGTAGTAATGGCCTACTTCATTGTCTGACAAATGAAAATGAGACGGACGTTTAGATGAATCATTTATTTCAGACAGTTTCACTTACAAATGGTCAGACAAATACAACACAAAGAGCAGAATGAGATTTAGAAAACTCCTTTAAACACACGAACAGACAAGTCCAATTTACATCAAACGTAACTACAAAAAGGCATGACCAGAAGATCTGTACATAAACTTTTTACAATTATCTATTTTCATATACACAATAAAAATGAATTATGTACAGCACCCCCCCAGCCCTCCTAAGAGAAAAATAGACAACACATCTAAAGGTGTAGATTCACAATAAAAGGGCAGATCAGACCTTGCAAAAGTGCCAATTTGTCAGCCTTCAAATGGTTAAATACTACACATACAGTAGTACACAGTCCATATGCTAACTAGTCCCCTTCATTTAGTTACTTTAAACAAGCTTTTTGAGCAGATGTTTTCTCTTTGAGACGAACAGGTTACCAGCACCAAATATCACATCATACAACTGACACATTATTCCAGGGGCAAAAAATTCGTTAGGACTTACAGACAATATTTAAGAACATCTTATGTAAAAAAATACAACTAATTTCAGACGTTCAGCAAGCGCCAATTTATTTTGTGCATACACACCATTTAAGTGCTGGTTTTTGAGTTTACCCTGATATCCAGCAGCTTTTTTATTTCCTGAAAATACATTATTCTAGCTAGTGCTTCATAGCCAAGAGAGTCATAACAGTGACATGCTACCATGTTTCCAACCTGGTAATAATTGGAAACGTGTCAAAAAATGATTTATTCCACCTATATCCATCACCTGCCCAGACAGCTTGTAGCGCACAAGAGCTTTAAGCAGTAATCATGTGCACCATCGAAATGAAACTACAATATAAAGATGGTTTGGAATAGCATTTTAACAGGAGCAAACACAAAATGAAAATACTTCTGAATGTTGCTGGATCTTAAAGGTGATCAGTAGTCTGTTCATGGACAGCTTGGAAAGTACTAACAGCTCCTGACCAGCAGAGGGCATTGTCTGATTGTCTTTACCGTTAGCTAATCTAGGATTAAAAATGTGGCTGCTGGTGTGCTATTTTATTGCTAAATTGTTAATACTGGTCTAAAAAGCTGTGCTGACCCCAATTTATAATATAAACCTTGTATGCACATGTGCTTTTGTGTATGTGTTTTGTTTTGTTAATGGTGACAGAAATAAACAACAAAATAGTTTATTTCCCCTTTTTTGTTGCCATACTTATGGATGTACACTGCTGTTTAAACGTTTGGGTCAGTATGTATATATATAGTAATGGCGCAGCTCTATTCTGGAAAAGGGGGCCGGGAGCAGCAGCTCATTTGCATTTAAAGAGACAGGCCTGAAAAACAGCGTGTTTCTGCTTCCACTCAAAATAGGCATTTTCAAAATGATATAATAAATGATCTGTGGAGTATTTTGAGCTGAAACTTCACAGACACATTCTGGGGACACCAGAGATGTATATTACATATTGTAAAAAGGGGCATAATATGTCTCCTTTAAAATATATTAAAATAAACTGTTATTTTAATTTGTAATATTTCACAATATTCCACAGAAACTTGTAACTACAGCACGGCCACATTTGCTGTTGGTAAAAGTTGAGCATGTATTCATGGCACTCATCCTGTGAGATTTCACTCCACTGTTATTTATTATTTGTTCATCAGATTACATTATATCCACAAAAAACTCACAAGGGTTGCCCATGGCATGCTGGAAAGATTGGCGACTGGCGGTGAGTTCAGGTGGTATGGCCCCTATTTCCCTCACTGGAGGGGCCCCAGGGGGCCCGCTGCTGATAGCCCCCTTAGGGGTCAATCTGGCCAGGCTGTAGGGAGGAGGCAGGCCTGGGGGTCCGTAAGAGGAAGCGTGGCTCCGTTCGCTGAGCGCACAAGACGTGTGGCCGTACTTGGAAAAGGGAGCGTGACTGTAGGAGAAGGACGTGCGGCTGTGTTGGGACGGGACACGGGAATGAGTGTAGCTGTGAGATGAGAGAGCATGGCTCCGGTGGCTCAACTGGCTGGCTGAATGCTCAACCCGCCTCCCACCCGCTCGCTTGCCTGAATCCGATCCGCTGCCGCCGCTGCCTGCTGATTTGCGGTCCTTGTCCCTTGGCACAGGACGCTGGCTCCTCCCAGCACTAGGGTTGGAACTACTGCTTCGACTTCCTGAAAAATAAACAGAGGTTTATATGGTTATATGGAGAACAAGTAGTGTTACTGCAAAGGAATAAATCAACCTAATGTATTTTATTTTTCAGTCTTTAAATTACAACAGTTTTCAAGGTTACCCTCTGCACAGTGACAAAGAAAATAAAAATTGTGGTTGTGGACAGCAAGGAAAAACTAATATTGATAGACTGCAAGTAACTACCCAGTTTGGGGTTGGTTAGTTTTTTATGCTTTCGAAAGTCTCTTATGATCACAAAGACAATATTGTGACATATTACAATTTAAAATAAAGGTTTTCTATTTTTATATAAAGATTTAATTTATTCCTGTGATGGCAAATCTGAATTTTCAGCAGTTATTATTCCAGACTTTAGTGTCACATGATCCTTCAGAAATCATTCTAATTTGCTGATTTGGTCTTCAAAAAACATTTCCTATTAGCAGTGTAGAAAACAGTTTTGACTCTTAATGTTATTGTAAAAACCTGATTTTATGATGAATAGAAGGTTCAAAACAAACAACAGCATTTATTTAAATGTCTGCTGTCACTTTTGATCAAATCAATGCAGGTTTTCTGCATAAACGTATTAATTTCTTTAAAAAAAAACTTTAAAAAAAAGTGTTGATTGATTGCCAATCAAACTCAGTATTGCGGTTCAAGTTCTGTCACTCAGCAGAATCTAGCTTTATCCTTGAAAACCATAAACAACACAGTGCAAGATAAACTAAAATGAAATCTATAATAATACAGGTTCACTTGCTGTAAAAAAGTAATGAACAATGTCTTTTTTTTTTTTTCATATTGTTGGGCATATGCAGCTATTGGTAATATCAAAAAATGATACTGTTTGATTTGAACAATTTTGGTACTGACGACAAATGTAATATCTGAATTTTTAAGTAAAACTAATCAGTGCTGCCTCCTTTAGTATCTAAAGTAACAGCTCATGAGTATGCAGTTAATGAAGATCTGCCATTCACAGAAACACTTCATCCCTCACTAACTCTATAATGACAAATCTTCTGCATTTCTTGCTCTTCATTCCATCATGCCACGATCCAAGAGAATGATTAAAATCTGATGAAAAATGATGGCAATTAAAGAGCTGATGAAATACATCTATCTGATGTGCAATTAAAACTGGATGACATGAGACTGGAGTCAAATGACGATGCAAATGAGATCATGAAGTGCTCCATCCTGAATTTAAAACACTGTCAAACAAAAGCCACATTATTTCACTCTTACATAACAGGCATGGCAAAGCTTTACATACACATATGGGATCTACATTGATATTGTCATGTGCATTCCCAGACTAGTGTGTATGCATCTCGTTTTTTCCACAACACATGACATGCTGAGAAATACAGAGACGAGAGGTGAGGCAGCAGAACAAATCCAGCAACAGAAATACCCCAGTCATGGAGGGAGACATGACTGTAAGAGAGAGAGAGAGAGAGGCTGCCTTACCGGACACCCCAGGGTTGGGACTACCTCCTCCATCAGTCTGCCATTGCACAGCAGAAATGAACAGGAAACAACACAGTTAAGCCGTCTGTCTATCTTAACACTAGAAGCTCTATCAAGTACAAATCATCCTCAAAGCCTAAGTGCATAACTGGAATCTGCTCAGTAAAATAAAATCTTATATGTGCTCATATAAGATATTTATTTACATGTTGTGATGATATGTTAGAATTTACAGTAATATAGTGATATGAACATTTCAGTTGTTGATACCATTTGGACTGAAATTTAGTGCATATTGCTTTATAGTGCTAATTATTTCTCTGTTAAATCAACTCAATTAAATAATTGTTTAAGTAATCAGCCGGTAAAAAAGATCAAAAATAAATTCAGAGGTCAGTATTTTTTTTTATTTCATGTCAGTATTGTTGTTTGATTAATGTCTTATACAGATATTTTATACTGAATGGAATCAGTGTACTGAAT